AAGTTGCATCAAAGAAGATCGGCCAATTATAGGCCTAACCTTTGGAAATACGATTTCCTCCAGTCGCTTAACAACAACAACGACCTCGTAAGATTCTAATTTGTACCTCCCGTGCTCATAAGTTCCATCAAATTTGAACGTTAATTATCGAACCTGTTCTTTTTTGGTTGTACTCCTTTATTCAAGTATTGCACATGAGACACATGTTGATTTTATTTATTTTTTAATTTGAGCAAGGTAGTATTTTGCTAAATTGATTTGTAACATCACATGCATGGTCTTAATATGTGTGGTTATCCTATATATCAGCCATCATCTAGACTTGATTTATAACTAACATGAATGTATAAAACCAATTCATCTAGCTATATACATTTGCATGTACTAAATTTTTCTGAAAAATTAGCTTGCTCACGGTTGAGTCCTCTAGGGATTGAAATGAAACCAACCATTTCAGACTCACTATACAACAAAGTCAATCGCGATAATAAAAAAATCAATCAATTTATTAGAAACATAACGAGTCCACATTATTTTGGTTGTTACTTCTTAAAATATGATTAAACCGGTCAATTAGAATGAGTCTAGATAAAACCTTATTAGAAGCAATCAAGACTTTGCAATATATTTTACCATAAATTCGTAAAGGATAAAGTAGTATAATCACAACATCTTGGCATTGCTCTATAGGTTGAATTAATTGAGGCCTTTTCGAGGTAGATTTCGATCTTACGAATTCGACTCGATTCTGTAGAAAGAAGGAACTAAAGAACGGGTAGAACGGCTCGTGGAGGAAGTAAAACCAATGTTATCAGAAGCAGTCGATTCACTCCCCAAGTTAGAGTTGATTGACAGCATGAGAAAATTGGGGCTGTCCAACCTTTTTGTCACTGAAATAAAAGAAGCTCTTGAAACCGTTGCATCCACCAACGGTGGCGTTTTCAACGTGGAAGATCGGCTCTATGCCAGTGCACTTCGGTTTAGACTCCTCAGATAGCATGGCCATGTCGTTTCACAAGGCAAGTCGTAAATATGGATGTGTGTGATTTCCTTCGTCTGAGATGTTACTAACGAATGACAGCACAAACCAAATAAATCAACGAATAATGCTTTAGGTACTGAAGATTACTCCACAAAAGTTGGTTCCTTCCATAGCAGTCATACCTATTGGGACTTAGCTCTACAGAAAAACCTTCTTGTTTCTGGAGAGAGGATCACTAAAGGAAAGTGTAATTGTGGACTAGACGGTGAAGAAGGTTTCGTCCACAGAGAGGTTTTATCGAATTGAATGCATACAATCCGCTCAAAGTTCATATGCCATTATTCACTGTTTTCCAATAACATCTTCTTAGTCATCAGTCGTCGTACTTTCTAATATTTATTAACATCGAGTATAATTAGTACTATCAGCAATTATTCTTGGTTCTATCCGGCCGTAAATCTTCGACTTTCATTTTGTAATCAGATGAATTAAGGATGTTCAAGGAAGGAAGGAACACATTGAACGGAAGCAACTGCGAAGATGTTGAAGATATGATAGAGCTTCTTGAGGCTTCACATCTGGCTTTGGAAGGCGAAAACATTTTGGATGAAGCGAAAGCCTTCTCAACTGGGATTGTCCGAGAAAGAGTCTCCGATTTGGATGGTCAGCTCTTGAAACGTGCCGTCCATGCTTTGGAGCTTCCGATGCACTAGAGGGTCCAGTGGTTCGACATCAAATGGCAAATTGGCTTGTATGAGCAACAGGAGGACAAGCAAAGTAATCTGCTTGAGCTTGCAAAACTCAATTTCAACACGGTCCAAGCCACACACCAAAGAGACCTTAGAGATATATCCAGGTAATTTCATCACGCTCAAACTACTAATGATATTTCAACCAAAAAAAAAAACTACTCATGATGTATATGGTCTAAATTCATCCTAGGAAATTGCCTTCTTTGAAGTTATGTGTACCGGACATGATGTGATTTTCATAGCTTTGGATTTTGATTAGTTGCTTCGGTAAATTCAGGTGGTGGAGGGATCTGGGACTTATCGAACATGTTAACTTCGCGAGGGATCGGCTGGTCAAAAGTTTCTTGTGCGCCCTTGGACTCTCTCAGGGATCACGGTTCAGCTCTCTCCGAAAATCTCTTACCAAGGTCATCATCTTGATACTGGTGATCGACGATATCTACGACCTATATGGTTCGTTGGAGGAGCTAGAATGCTTCACTGGTGCCATTACGAGGTTGGCCACCATGCCTCCCAATCTCTACCTTTCGTGTTTGTTCAGCTCATTTTCTCTAATTGGAAAGTCCAATGCTTCTAGATGGGATTCAGAGCAGATTCAACAGCTTCCCGATTGCATGAAGGTGTGTTTCCGAGCGCTTCGCGATGTTACATACGACATCGCTTATGATATTGGCAAGGATGAAGATTGGCATCGAGTGCTACCACAACTCACGAAAGCTGTAAGAAAAAACTGTTGGATAACTGGATATCCATGCATATGTCACCCTAACTATTTTATGTCCTGCATAATTAATCATCTACGATTAAATCTTCTTTTTTCCTTATTTTTCCATAGTGGGAAGATTTTTGCAAAGCGATACTTAATGAAGCAAAGTGGGATAATATGGGCTACACTCCATCTTTGGAAGAGTACTTAAACAATGCATGGACATCATCTTCTGGACCACTGATCTTGTCTCATGCTTGTTACTTCACGGGACATATGAAATTGGATGATGCAGCAGATTTGCTACAGAGAAACAAGGATCTGATTTACAATGTGTCCATGATAATTCGACTTTGCAACGACCTAGGAACATCAACGGTAATTATCAAACTTCTGTGGAAATGTTATTAACCAATTGAATATGACATGATGGACAAATTCTTAGCTTTTGTACTTACACGACGTAAGGAGTAACTAAATTTAGGAAATTGAATCTGATTAACGAGTTAACTGATTTATCTATTTGATTAGGTTGAAAGAGACAGAGGAGATCCTCCATCCTCAGTGGTGTGTTACATGCAAGAAGCAAATGTATCAAAGGACGTTGCTCGTAAGCACATCAAGGTATTGATAAACCAAGCATGGAAAAGAATTAATGCTCGTTGCTTCGGCAATGCCGAGACGCCATTTCTCCGACCCTTTATCAATGTCACCGTGAACGCTGCTCGTGTTGCGCATATGCTTTACCAGTTTGGAGATGGGTTCGGCGTCCAGGACGGCGACATTCAGTAGCAAATTCTATCTATTGTGATCAAGCCTCTCGCTCACGACTGAGATATTAGCGCAAGTGTAATCACATAGCGGCTGTGTAAGCTAGACTAGCTGCTGCAGGTCCAAAGATTGAGGGCTATAGGCAAATTGTATCTTAGGCAAAGCAATAATTACGTTTGTGTTTCACCCGGAATATCGGCCAAATACCTTAAAAAAAACAAGTAGCCTCAGAATCAAATGCCAGTGCATTCACGGGCGGCATTAGAAACGGCAAAAGGTTAAATTGTATCAAACTATTTGACCTTCAAAACCGTAAAGCACTCCTTGGTCTGAAATTTTGATTCTTGGTTCTTGACTAGAAAGTTTGTCATCAGGTCTCAGTTGCTGGAAGATGCTTTATCAACTCAGTAGAGTTCGATTTGATGTTGTATTGACATATTGGCGCAGTCAAAACTATAGAGTCAAGCTGCGATTGATTTGCAGAGTCAAGTTTGATTGAAGTAAATGTACATCAAATCAACCTCCGCGAAGCTGGAATTGATTTGAAAGAATCCAACATATTCAACTTAAAATCAGATGATAGACCATGTTGACTTGACTGAACTTAGGTCATATCTGCAATTTCCTCTTTCTCAGAAATGAAAATTTATGAATGTGTTTTGAGGGCTTTGTCCCCAACTTATGGCTTCTAGCACGAAATCAAAATCCAGAACACAAAATCCTAAAGTGGCTGCACTTCGCTTCATGTTTACAATGCACGTCTTTTCTTCGGAATTTAAGTCTGATAGCTAAAGTCAACACTATCGCAAACACGTGATACTGTAAATACTCGTAATAGGGTTAACTGTTGCAAACCAATGTAACGGTTTGATAAACATATATTTTGAGGGTGAATGAGACCAAAAACCACCTCAAGTAAGAGAGATCATGCATTCCTATAAATAAAACACACACACATACATGAAGGGACGTATCGAGAACCGAAACAGAATGATCACGCAGAAAACAGAAAAAAAAAGACGATGCACGAATTTACCCAGGTTCACCCTCGATTAGGGCTACGTCCTGCAAAGAGATTTCACTATGTTTTTTTTTTTTCGGTTTACAGCCACTCAACTCGTTACAATGATCAGAAAAACGAGCAAAATATATATAAGCCCCAAACGGGCCCAAAACCTAAACCTATATGAAAACTCTTAATCTCGCACCATACCGGCCAGCCCAAACCTGTTGAGATTTCGAGGGCGCTGCCCCCGAGCCCCCGCCCGCTCACCGGCAAGCGGGGCAGCCGTCTGCTGGACCGGGCAATGGAACCCCGTCGGGGCGATGCCCCGACCCCCGCCGCCGATCGAGCAAGGGGCACCACTGCATGGGCGCTGCCCCGAACCCCCGCATTCTGTACGCATGGGTCACATGTCGTCGGACAACACTTCAGTTTCCCTAAGCTCACGTGGGCGTACTCAGTGTGAGAAACAAGGATCCCCGAAGTATTCGCCAACTCCAACAATACACACATTACCTTGCTTCTTGTTCCCTCCATTGTCTATTATATGTTATAACCCACAATTGTCAGAAAGGTATTTTGACCAAGCATAGAAATCAGATTCTCTGGCCTCTTTCTTTGTTCGCACTGACCGTCCCATATCGAGGACTTAGTCCAACTCTTCACTTAATTCCCTCGTGGGAATGATCCCAAAAGTTCTAGCTTTTTCATATGCAGAACTTTTTTCATGAATCGGTAAAGTTTTGTCTCTAGAGGGGTTTTAAATTACAGTCTTCTTCTCCAGCAATGGAAATGTGCTGCATTCTTGAAGTAGATGTCAATGGCCTTGAGACTTTCCTGGTGGACAAGGTAATTACTTGCTCTGCTTTCTCTCTCAATTTTCAGTTCATCACCTTTGTGTCTTTATGACCTGGTTCAGTTCAAATTCTTGTGATGGTGCTTCTTGTTATAGTTTTTTACTATTGGTAATTGGCTTTGGCTTTCTTGAACTGTGAAATCACTCAACTGATGAAATGGACTTCTGCTTAATCGATGAATTTCTGTTTCTTGAAAAAGAGAATGTCTGTCCTAAATTGAGAAGCCTATCATACTTTTTGAAGTTTTTCAGGTAATCCCTGTAATGGTTTTGAAGATTAAAACCATCCTGAATTGACCATAGCATTTTTTTTTTCCTTTCGTTTCCCCGTTTGTTAACCGTCTCTCTGTTTTCTGTTTCTTGTGCAGAATATCGTGGCATCGTTTTCAAGTAGGCTTAACAGATTGTTTGGTAAAAAATCAGGAGTAGTAAATGGGGAGCTGAAAGTGATCTTTCATGATTTTCCAGGAGGCTCTGAGGGTTTTGAGCTCATGTCAAGATTCTGCTACAACAACGGCAAAGTCGAGATAAACCCTCACAATGCTGTCCTATTGAACCGCGTGGCGCGTTTCATGGAATTGTACTGCAACAAAGCACGGAGCAATCAAAATTTGGAGGAACGAACGGAGAATTCCCTCAAAGGGATCGACTACTGGCCTTGGTCTGAACTACTAATATCTTTGAAACAATGCCAGGATTTATTCCCTGCTAAAGATTCGTCTTTTTTAGTTCAGAAAATTGTGGACTGCATAACAGAAAGATTAGCTTTGCCTGCTGTTGTGAGCTCGTGCGCGTCTTCATCGGACAGTTCATGTTATCCTTGTTCAAGCATGGATAGTGTCAAAAGCAATGGCTTTCACACGGCATGGTGGTTTGAAGATCTTATGTTCTTGGAAATTGATTGGCTAGACAAAATAGTGAGAGCAATGGTATCAAAAGAACATGACCATTTTGCCACAAGTAGATTCCTCCTCTATTATCAAAAGTCGAAATCCATCGGCGCCACGGTCATCGAGAAACGCAGGATTTTAGAGGGTTCGATCAATCTGCTATCTTTGGTGGATCGGGACTTGAGCACCATCTCTTGCAAATGCCTCTTCGAGCTACTATGCCTCGGATTGAGGTGGAACATAAGCATAGGTCACAAAGAACTCTTGGAGAGCTTGATTGGCTCACGGTTCGACCAAGCCACGGTCGATCATCTGCTTATTCAATCGCCTTGGGGGAAAAAGTACGCTTATGATGTCTATTTGATCATCAGGATTATTAAAGCATTCTTGCACAAAGGCGATGAATTACCCGTAGGTCAGCTCAAGAAGGTCGGCCACTTGATTGACTCCTACATAGGAGAAGTGGCTGCCGATTTGCATGTAAAGCCCGTGATGTTCGAAGAGCTGGTCTCAATCTTGCCGGAGGCTGTTAGAGACTCTCATGACAGCCTATACAGAGCCATAGACATATATGTTGAGGTACCATACTTGGACAGCAAATTCTGAAAGCTTCACATTGAGTAGAACATTAAACAAAGTTACTTACCGCTGAGTACTTTTAGCTAGTTCACTTAACTTTCATGGCTGAAACATCATTTTCTGATTGGTTTCGAATTTTCTTGCTTGTTCTGACAAATTTTATGTAAATGCTTGAGCATTTCTGGTATAAAATGCTTATTAGGAGAGAATTTGTGTGCAGGTCCATCAACAATTATGTCCACAAGAGAGGCTGAGAATATGTGACGTACTAAATCATGACAAGCTCTCTGCAGGAGCTCTAGGAGACTTAGCTTACAACGCAAATTTTCCACCCAAAATCACCGTTAAAGCTCTGCTTATACTGCAACATAAGCTCAAGAACTTGGTCCTGGGCACACGGGAGAATGTTAGCGATAGGATCAAAAGAAAGCGAAAATCGCACAGCACTAGGTGTTAGAGGGAGCTTACAAGTCAGAGCGATCGGATACCGCAAACTGGGCGAACTCAATGGTCTAGTCGGTGCAATTTAGGATTCTTAATTGCCTATGGTTGTGTTCAGAGTTAGAAACTTTTTCCTTCATTTCTTTGTGATTTTGGTCTAGTCATTCTAGAATAGTAAAGTTTCTTTGTAGTTTTTTTTTTTTTTTGATGACCCAGGAACCCCCCGCACGGCCGACAGTCGGAGGGGTAAACCTGGGATGACGCTAGCGCAGGACCCACCACCACGACGCCACACTTAAGAATCCCTAACGACTACGCTGGGGTTCGAACTCTGATCCCTTCGTGGGGGGATGAGAGCGCAAGCCAACGCAGCCGCTGCGGGCGGTGGTAAAGTTTCTTTGTAGTTTCTATCTCTGTTTTCTATAGTTTTGAGATGATTTGTAAAGATCTCATATTTTCACTAAATAGCGTAATCGGTAAGTATACTTGAAGAATCTCAATCTGTTTTGTGGTGTATTGAATCAAAGTCCATCTCAAATCATCAAAGAACAGTGCGAATCATTTTATCTCTAGCGAAAAAAAAAACAAACAACAATTTAGATGCTACAACTTTCAAAGAATGGCCCGAAATTCACATAAAGTCTAACGAATCGGCTGCATGCCTTACCCAAGATCATGAGCACGCCGGCTCTGATACAATGTTAATATGAGTGTGCAATCAATTTGAATATTTAACAAGGACGATTGAGTGAAGAAAGAAACTAGGATAGAGATTGAGAAATTGAAGAGGACAAGACCCTTCTTAAGAACAAAAGCAATTTTGTCGATTCATTCATCGAGATAAAACCATGTCCTTCAATCAACCCAATACCATGATAAATGAGACAATTTCATTAATATAATGAATGGATGTTTCTGAAGAATAGTGGTAACGATTCACGAGTTCCTGCTCATCGCCGATTGCGGAGAACAACACGTTCGTTTAGGGGCTCATAACAGCAGACAATGCAGTCCCGGACAAATGAATAAACCAAATGATTTTGGACTTTCTGAATTGATTATTATTATTATTTTGAATTTATTTATTATTATAAGTTTGACCCACGTTTTTGAGTGATGGCCATAATATAAAAATATGTCGCCCTATTTTTCTTTTTGTTGTTCTCAAGACAGAATATATGCTTTGGCCTACGTCAAGTTTTGGCTCCTATAGAGGAGGGTGATGTTCTTATTTTATTTTTCTTTTGCTCATTTTGACCAGAAAGACTATTATCCTATCTGTTGACACCTATTTTTGATTTGTCCAAAATTAATTACACAAAATTTAGGAGTTAATTTCCTTTAATTCCTAAAACAAAAAATATTTCTATTTCAATGCATTGCATATAGGCATTAGGTATATTTGCATTAATAGGGCCTATTTGAGCATATTTTATTAATTAATCCTCAAAAAAAAAAAATTCGAGTCGGGCCGGGTCGGGGCTGGGCCGACCCGGCCCTTTTCTTTTTTCTTCCTTTCCCCCGGCGTGGGCTCGGCCCACTTCTCTTTTTCTTTTTCTTCCCGCGCGAGCTGGGCCCCGCCCGGCCCAGCTCCCTTCCTTCTTCCCCCTCGCCAAGCCGTCATTCTCCTTCCCCCTGTTCTCCTCTGTCGCTGACGCAGAGGCGACGAGTGGCTGAGCGCGGCCGCCCCGTCCCCATCCGGCCAGAGCAGGATCGGGGCAGCACGCCACAGGGACTGGCCATTAAGGCTAGTCCCTTCTCCCCCCGTTTCCGGTTCTGTCTCTTTCTCTCTCTCTCTCTCCTTCTCCTCTCTGTCTCTGCACATTGAACAGCCCCCCTGCTCTGCACCGGCCTGCCATAGCCACGAAAGTCGTGGGGTGGCGTAGGCCGGTTCAGGCCATTGTCACGCCGATGCGGCCGGGCCCAGACTTGTCGTCGTCGGCTATGAAAGACAGAAAGAGAGAGAGAGAGAGGGTCGGCCATTTTTGGAAAAAAATACAGGGAGAGCGTGAGAGCGTGAGCCGGGAGAGATAGGGAGCCTCCGGCAGCCACCGCGCCTCATCCACCCATCCCCAACGCCGAGACGACGGCGGCGACACAGAGAGAGAGAGTGGGTCGGCCATTTTTGGGAAAAAGAGAGAGAAACCGAGAGAGAGAGAACACAGAGAGAATAGAGAGAGAGAGAGGGAGCCGAGAATCCGCCGGAGCTAAAGAAGAACCAGCAACGGTCGTCGACGCCGCCAGACTAGCCGGAAGCCGCCCAGACGCGCCGTCGACCGGTGAACCCCCTCGGCCGCGAAGCTCCCCTGTTTTCCCCTGATTTTTGGCTCGGTTTGGCCGGGACTCGCGCCGGCCGTTTCGCGCGAATCCCAGCCCATACCGACGTTGTTCCCGGCCCCCTCTCGCCGTTGAAGATGAACCACAGTCGCCGGAGCCGGCCGGGTCACCGGGAGAGGTCGAAATCGGCTGATTTCCACCGCGCACGCCCAGTGTTCGACAAAATGCCTCAATAAGGCCGGTTTTTGTCTCGTCGCCGGCCGGCGAACGGCGGTCCGACGGCGGCTCAGGTGAGTGGTGTAGCTTAATGGTGGTACAGGGGGTCAATTTGGGGGGAGGCGACGATCTGGGTCGGCCGGCGGACGGCCAATTTTGGCTCCACCGGCGTTTCTCCCCCGCAGGTCTGCAAGTTCGGGTCAGACCCGACCCGAATCAGCAGATCCGACCCGGATCAGCCGATCCGACCCGGGTCAACGCTCGGGTCGGATCCGACCCAACCCGATTTAATATTATATTATATTATTTTTATTTTTATTTTTATTATTTTTATTTTTAAAAAAATAAAAAAAATTTCAAAAAAAAATTAAAATTAAAATTTTTTTTCTTTTCTTTTCTTTTCTTCTTTTTCTGTATTAATTTTTTTTTTCCGAAAAAAAAAAGTAAAAAAATTTTAAATTTTTTTTTAAAATAAAAAAAGAAGAAGAAAAGATCTTTTTTAAAAAAAAATTATTGTGTGATATATTCTAAATGTTTAATTTATTGTAGTATTATTAAGCATATTTTTGTCTTGTTTAAATTAGACAAGCCTGAGATTGCGCGGTAATATTTTGCATGTTATTTTTATTATCGCTGTATTATTATGCATGTTTTTAATACAATCGCATGAGTTGTGTTTTGAATGTCATCTAACTTAGTTAAGGTTAGAACCTTAGGGCCGCATGAATTGTTGTGTTCGATCGCCGATCGTTTCGATTATGCACTCGCTTGATCACCTCACATGTTAGGAGAAAGGTCCTAAAATCAATCCAAATTGCTCGACAAATGTTTTCGAAATGAACAGTGGTAAAATGGTACCGAAAGGGCATTAGTTATCCAACTAGTGTAACCAAGTCCCCGAACTCATTTAATCTCTGGTTCGTAGGAATAGGGTGATTCTCCCATCACCCTATTTGGGTTTCTAATCGACCCACCCCAAATCGATTAGTGGCGACTCCTTGATATAAACCACTTGCATGTTAAAAACTTAAACCCTAAGTCGCGATACGGTATGGGCTTGGGAGAGCCCGAGTTAAGTCCCGAACTTAGACTTAGCACGTACCAGGCGAGCCCCCCTTGTTTTTGCATGTTGTTTAAAAAGGGCTCGGGAGTTCGGTCGCGACAGATTGGCGACTCCGCTGGGGACTTGCATTTTTTTAAAGTGGACTTAGGCCAAAAATTTTATCCTATTCAAAAATGATTTTTGTTTGGCAGCAAGGACTCCAGGTACGATACTGACATTAAGGTGTTATTTGTTCTTGCAAGTTCGAATTGATTGTTTATAATTTGTTGTGCATGCTTTAATGATTTAGCACTACACCGTTGCACACACAACCACGCTGCCGGACCTGGGCCGCGATAGGGCATTTTAGGATGGTGTTAAGAAAGATACGACCTCGAACGCGAGCCCGCGATGTAGAGGTTGCCTTTCTTTTCCCCGAAATTTATTTCTAAAAATTGTAAAGAAGTATCTTTGGCCGCTATTCGCGTGACTATAAGATATTCCTTTCGATTTGGCCGAGGTTAAAAGACTTGACACCAACGCGAGGCTGCGACGGTCAGGCACCCTTTTAATTTCTTTTTGCTGAGCCAGTCTAGATAGAAATCGAACCTCACTCCTCATGTGTATGTCGTTGTGATTGCCATGGTTCAAGGAAAGGTATATATTCTGTCCCTTCTCATTTTATTATTCAGCCTACTTATTTATTTGATTTGTTAATGTTAGGCCACCCGTTGATTGCATTCTACATACGATGGGAGGAGCTGATATCCAATCCGTCCTCGCTCCTAAGAAAGAGTTTCTAGCATGGTGGGACCGACGAGACGAGGGATACGCTTATTGCAGAACTTATCCGTGAAAATAAGCGACTCCGAGAGACTATAGCTTCCCCATCGTTTATAGAATGAGCATCCGGGAATGGCGCCATTTTTGTTAAAAGCCCTGTCTTTTATATTTCCCTGTATTTATGTTTAGGGGTCTTGGTTATCTTCTGTAAAAATGTTTTTGGGTTGTACTAATGTTAATATAACTCGGACCGTTTTTTATTCTATAA